CACACACACACACACACACATTATCAGTAACTTTCATTGGTATGACTCTCAACATCACGTTTCCACGAGAATCAGTGACTAGACAAGTTGTCATTCTGCAGGTGGTGCGACGCAACGGATTAATAAGGTGCAATAAACTGTTCCTCTATCCTGGCATTTCAGGCCATCAAATGCATCTCATTAAGTACGACCAAACCCAATGCATGCGGCTGCTCGAGGGTCTACGGCCGAAGATCAACTTAGCCAAGGTATGTTCATTCATTTGACCTCTACGCTCGTACTCCAGTGACACTCCCTTTCGTATGCCAACTAGGGCTACTCTGGCACGTGGGAAGCAACATCAATCCATCGTATACTGGGTATTGTGATAAGGTCTGTGTCAAAACCTAGATTTCCTTCCTTTTGCTAGAGGAATCCCCTCTGTTAGTGGACGTAGGCCACTATGACTGCCTTCTGTTTTGCCTCTATCATTCGCATTCATGGTTCTGACCAAGTTTTGAGTGGCTTCGGTTGAGAACGTAGACCTGATTAGGCTTTATTTGTTGCATCAATCAGGCTCCCTCATTGAAGAGAGACAATCCACCTCAACACTTGACGGGGCCTGGTTGCGGATTTGTTAATGAGCAACTTTCAAATGGCATGCATTGTTTTGCGCAGCTGACGCATTTCTCTTTTCCATTTTTTTCACCTCTTTGCTTCCCAACTTCCATCCATTCAACATGAGTAGGTGCCAGCACTTCAGAGATTCTCCATCAAATCCATTCTGTGCATGCTCCATTTCCTTACTGTTAATGAGGCTGAAAGTGCTAACTTTGGGCATCCATGTACCAAGTCACTCTTGGTTACTATCTGTCATCAAACGTCATTTGCTAACTTCTATGACTGCTTTAAATCTTTTATTAGAAGGAGGACGTTCTTTTCAGGCATGTATTTTGCTTATATGAAACAAGATTTAATCTTGGAGGTGTTGTGAAAGCATAAATGGACTCAGAGACCATAAAGGCTAGCATCACAGCAGAAGAAAGTTCTATACAATCATTCCATGTTTGAAGTATTTTTGTTGTGGTTCGTGCGTTATAAGTGAAAGAAGGCTGTAGTGTTTTTTTTTTTTATGTGATGCTTTTGCTCACTGCTACTGTTGCTGGTGCTGACTGTCAAATTAATCGTGGCCTCTCCCGAGTGGTTCTGCAACCCGACACGAAAAATGAGCTGAGGGCAGGCCAAGATTTGGGACGAATCAAAAACATATTTCCTCCCTTCCTTCTCCCATTTATCATTTCAGTTGTACAAATGAGTCACTATCCTCTCAGACTTTATTAAGCAACAAAATTCCCTTCTCTGGTCTTCCCCCTTTCCCCTCCACACTCCCTCTTCTCCCCTTCCCCTCCCTTCCGATATAATCATATTTGAACTTCAGTCATGTTGGCGCAAATTTTATTTCGAAATGCCAAGGCAAACTTTGTGTCAGTGGAGGGCGTGACTAATCGGCCTCACCTATTTTTTTGCCGCCGTCTGAGCGTCCATCAAACTTCTGACACCTCTTCAGCAGACCTCACTCCCCAAACTGTCACTGGTGTGATGTAATGGGAGTAGAGGGAAAAAAAAACAATGTCTAAGCTTATTACAACCCAAACAATAGGGTCAGACGTTGAAAGCATCTGTCCTCGTTTGCTTTGGCTATTGAATGGTCGTAATTGCTGTTGTCTTGCTTTCAGATTTGGCACGCCTACTTTGCGTTTCATCGTTACTTTGTGGCGACCCTATCAACTGAGGCGGAAGTGAAGGCACGCAACCAACAGCAACAAGGAACTGAAAATATTTTGGACTCCCTTTCGGGTCTGTCCCTGCACAAATCTACAGAGCATCAAATGTAAGTTCTCGGTTTGATGCTGCGTTGATGTTGTCCCTGTCTCAACTGGTGGAGGGCACAGGCAGTGACACGGCCTTCTACAAGTTCAGCGTGGATGAAAATGGTGGATTTGCGAAAAGTTTTGCAACTGCAAATTTGATTGTCTCCAGACCTCTTAACTACTGTCTGTGGCCATCTCGTAGACCCAATTAAGTCGCGATTGAAGCCGAGTCTGAGTGTAGTCTTATGTTACTATTCTGCAGAATTGATGGTAGTGAAGCTCTTTTTTTACAGTCAACTAACCCGTCTCCGATTACTTTTCTTTTTCGGCCATTTAAACGGAGGCAGTTGAAACTAGTCACAGGGGATGAATGGGGATCGCGTATCGCTTTCTTATCCGTAACAAGACGATCCTCGAATTCAACGATTCTGATTATTTGGGCAGCTTTCAGTGTCATGATCTCTATTAGTAAACTACTACTACTACTACTTTCCTACTGTCCGTAGTACATTTGTTAGTATGTTTGATAAAATGTGCGTGGCCGGAGGCCATCCTTCTTGTCCACCATTTCATTCACGTTTGTGTCAGATGTGTAACTCTGCTAAGACTACTAGCAACGTCGGTTTGGGTTTTAGGCCAACCGCTTCGTCAAGCGCAGACAGCGTCGCCACCCAATGTCCTCCAATTTCAGGGGAGATCGACAACAAAGCCTCATTTCGTCGTAGGTTTATCGTCTGTTCGTGTTATCAATTCATATATGCACTCAGCCGGCTGCAATACATTATAACCTTAGTCAACTTTAAGGTTGAGTTTATTTGTCAAAGAAAGGCACTTCTTACCAGCCATCTCGTCGTTTGTTGATATTTTGAATCGCTAACCCTTGAGTATGCTCGTCTCTCATTTGCATAAAAAAGGAGATACGAAGGAAGGAGAACCTCACAGAAATGTGCATTCAAGTAGTAATTTGGTTATGCAAAGAGTTAACCATTTCATGCTCGGTGGTCATTTTTCTCCTAGTCTCCTATTAAATTAGCATTCCCTTACCTATCTCTTTGCAATCCAGAACAGACCAGAGGGCCAGAAAAAAAGCAGTCTGCTGTTGCGTTTTCCTCTCCCCTCCGCCCTTGTTCCTTCTCGTTCCTCACTCTACTTATCACTCGAACAAAAAAAAGACCGCTGTCTTCTCTCCACCTCACACCGACGACTTATTGCAACCTGTGAAATTCGTGCTATTGCCTAATGGCTATATTTCCACCTTTTGTGCTTTGTCGACCAACTGCGAATCACTTTTTTGGGGCGCAAAAGCTCTTCACTAAGTTGGCAGTATGCCATTTAGAGGTGATGTTGATTGCGCGATGTGGTAACGAAATGTACCGTCCAGAAATGAAGGATTGAAGCGAGTATCGTTCTATAATTTGGTCATGTTTGATGTGAGTAATGGAATAGAGTTGCTAGGTGCGTGTCACCTAGAAAGTGGTGGAACCCGATTTGCGTGCCATGCTTGAACAGAGGTGGTCGGCGAAAACATTAAGCGAGGGTTGTAGGCTGTTCTACTAACCAATTTACTGGTGATAAGTATTTTTTTTTTGCTTGAAGTTAATTGGCAGGGAAGATGACTGGTTTGGCCCAGTGCTCCACTCTTGCCTGCCACTACTTCGTCCCCACCACACTGTTCTAGCGGGCCCAGTTGTTCTCCGTGAGGCGCACGTGTGCCACCGATAAGCACACTACTTCTAGAAGGTGGACAAAAAGTACTGATTGAGAGATGATGCTTGTCAGTGACGACACGAAACAACACCCCCACTACCTCCTCACACTGCCACAAACTTTAATTACGGACAGCCTTTATTCCCCACACTTTAACGTGGATGGAAGGGTTGGAGTCAAGTGATTTTAACGTGACTACTCCCTCAAACCACTCCGCCAATTTTCGACTGCTCTTTAAAGCATGCATCATGGGTTGGCGGAAGTGAAGAGGTGGGTCGCGGTTCGGCATCCCTTGTTATTAGTTATGAAAGGAAGTATTTTGTTGAGTGAGATTTGCACTTTTTTTTCTAAGGAAAGATATATGATTGTCTCTTTTTTTGCACGCTTTGAATCAATTCCCAAGTGGATATTCTCGAGCATTAAAATACTGCTTTTTGAGGAGTAAAGAGCGAGGGGTCGCTACAGCCTGGTCAGCATTTGTTAAAACGGATTTTTTTTCCTCATTTGCATAAAGCATGCCTTGGCCTCTTCTGCATACATGCTTTTGACACAGGTTGATTAATTCCAAGGTTCTTGTTCGTGTGTGTGTGTGCGTGAGGTTGTGCCTTTGTGTATTCAGAAAACACGTGATGTGTTCTGACACCTCAGTGATTTTATTGTCTCTACGTCCATACTCAAGATTGCATCGTCTTGGAGGCGTTTTGTGGGAAGATAGTGGGGGTGCCTTCTGTCAATCCCTCGAGTTGCCTGGGTACAATTGCTTGACTGTACTTTGCGTTTTTGTTTTTTTTTTTTGTTGCATAGATGGCCGGGTGTCAATTCCATTTAGTAATTTAATGCGCAATTTTACCTCCACCGTTGCATGGCGGGCGCTGTGCGCAGCAGTGGATTCGCCCGACATCATACAAGTTTGTTCACATGGCGACGCGGATATAATCTCGCCTGCAGAAATGCAAAGCCTTGAGAAGACCTTAGCTTCTGCCTCCAAATTTCGTACTGAATGCATGGACAGTGCAACGCCTTCGCCTGTGCCCTATCATCGGCGTCAGTTTTCTCCTTTTTCCAACTGTACTTGCTTTGGATAACAGGGAGGAGGTTTAGGGTTGCCACTTTAAGATTCAATTGAGTTCATTCTTGTTTTTTTTTTCGACCACGCGCTCAATGTGTAAGAGGCATTTGTTAACCTTTCGAGATGGGACTTTTGGAGCCGAAAAGCTGATGGCCAGTAGGTACTGGGAAATGCCTTTGAGATTTGAGCTTTTTATGGAGTCTAGCTCGCCCCATTACCTTTTATTGACTCCTGTGTTTTCCTCTTAAATCTGTGTTTACTTCCTTTTAGGTCTTTTGCGGGAAATACTGAAACCTGTTGGTAAGTGTTTGCTATGCATGGCATCAAGGCAC